ACTTAGCCTAACTCGCACACGACCTAAAGCCAACTTGAAGATATAAAAAGATATATTATGGTACTTAAAGAAATTTTGTTGACTTAAAAAAACTAAAAAAAAATATCACAAGAATATACGAAATACAGACAGTAGAAAAATAAAAAAGACATAACAGAATCAACAAAAATTGCTAAACCTATAAAATTTGCAAAAGTTAAACAGAATTTAAAACCTAGAATAAAATCCTGTCGAAAATAACCCTTAAGACAAAAGATAATATAAGCTATACTCGATTTTAAATATTATAAAACCATAAATAGTCATCTATAATAGTCATCATCTATAATAGGATCTCCTAGTTCACTATTGGACTCTAAATTTGAGAACATTAGCGCATAAGGATACGACTGCTCTGCTCGTTAGTAGAGATCAGATGCAAATAAGAGGGAATGCTTATACTTGTTCTGAATAATTTTTGTTGTTTAGGATGGATTTGTGCCGTTATCTTAAACATACCGAATGCGGAAGAAACAAATATTACCCTAAAAATAGAGAATTACCAGGCTTTGATGGAATCAGTAATCCTAGTATGAAAAATTATGCTAATATCATTATTAATCGATACATCAACGCAATTTTTTTATAAGCGATGTATCCTTAACAATGGCAATTCACAGAAATAATAAATAATAATATTCTGTACACCAGACAAACTTCTTAGATTCACAAAATTAAATACCACTTAACCACCCATAGATTAGAAGACAACAGAAAAAAGCATGCAAAGTAAAATAAAATGTACTATATAGGCATCTTAACGCTTGTTATATCTAAATATAAACTTGGATTTTGAGAATACGATTCTATAGAACTTTAACTATTAAAAGTTTTTCAAACTATTTTAGAAGCGGTAAGCAAGGTGATCTTCAAAATAAGTTTTTTGCTTAATATCACGAAAGCCTTCGTCACAGTATGCAATGTAGGTCTGATTGTAAAACTGATTAATATCGGGGTTTCATTCAAAATGATAGACTCTCTGAGTTTGCACAACAAAAAATTTAAGGTTCGAATTGATAAACATCGTTTGTCCGAATATATTATGTATAGTAGTCTTTCCAAAAATTAAAACTTATGCAGTATTCGTTGATAATGTTTAAGTAATTCACAAAATATTGTTTTAAATAGGTTTCCAAAAGTTCCATGGTATATAGGTCAGCATGAAATCCATAAAGACTTCCGCATCGAACGCTTTAAACAATATATAAAGAATAGAGCTCTTAAACTAAGTAGACTAAAATCAAACAATAGTTTGATAACAACAGTAAATCTCTAGTAGATATGCGGAACTTCAAAACATTATGTTATAAATAGTAAATATCTAAATTTATGAGTATCTTTAAAAATGGGTCGCGACGTTATACTTAATAGAATGTGATTGAGTTATAGTTGCAGTTCCCTTTTTCATAAAGAGATTCATGCGTTCGGATATGTATGTTATAACTAGAGATGGAATAGGGGAAGTTTTATTGAAAAACTTTCTTTCAATATACCTTATATATCTTTTACTTTTAGTAAAATATTGTAAACTAAATGACTTATATATAACTAAATGACTTTATAAGGATTTGTAAAAAGAAGTGCTTACAATCTATAAGTAAGTCTTTTAGTAATGTTGTTAAGAAATAAGTTTACTCTTTCGTATTGGAGATATATTAATTTTTAGTTGTAGATTTTTTAACTAAATTTTCTATTAGAGAAAGAAAGAAAGTGCAAGAGAGTCACTAATAGAGAATAATAAATTCAACTGAAACAAGAATAAGAGTACAAAAATAAAATTTTCATTAATCTAATTCTTAATCCAGGCTATATTAGACCCTTTTTTATAATATCTAATGCTTGTCTAGTGCTACTCAATTTTCTTAATTAAAACTTATAAAGGGTTCACAATTAAAATTAAAATGGGATATTTACAGATTGAATTCAGACTTCAGATTGATTAGCTAATTATTAAATATTTTTCCTTCTATTGTTCCGAGGCATATCTAAGGGTTGCCTAGCGGTAAAATTTTTTTTTTATTTTTACAAATATGTAGACCTAATAAAATCAAGACTATCCAAGGAAAGTAAGCTACGAATGTACAAGACAATAATAAGACCGGTAGCTACATATGGCTTAGAAATATGGACAATGACAAAGGTGGACGAAGAAGCTTTATAAATTTTTGAAAGAAAAATAGTTCACCATATCTACGGGTCAATCCAAATTGATGCAGAAACTTTTCAAAGACGAACAAATAACGAAATTGATAGCTGCGGGTACTACAGGGTCCCACTCATCTCATTGACTAATTTATGTATTGCCTACAAGCTTCATGATTATTCAGTGATTGATCTAAGATCTGCGTACCTCCCCGTGCGTAGAGTGATTACTCTAAGATTAGATAGTGGTAAGTAGGATAGCCTGTCAATTTTCGCATATAACTTCAGGGCTCTGTCCCTTATGTAATTTTTGATCGGGTCTATTCTAAGGTCTCTTAGCATGTCGTTTGTGCGGATGTACCAAGGCACTTTGAAGAGCCTTCTGAGAGCCTGACTTTGAGCAAGATACATTAAGTCACAAAGGGGGCTGCTCATGTAATAAGAAAGGGGTCGGAGAGAAAACCGAACAGCATATTCAACGCAAAGCCGATGATAACCATGCACAGAGGTAGGCCAAGAACAAGATGGGATGAGAACGTGTATGGTGATGCAAGACCGATTGGAGTGCTGAACTGAAAGAGAGTAGCAGATGATGGGGACAGATGGAGGAGGCCAAGGTTTATATTGAACTATAGTGCCAAATAAGAAGAAGATTAAATATTTTTACTAAAAACAAGTCAAAATATAATAGTGAAGAACAACTTATAGCTCTGAAACAATATAAATCAAAATTGTACTTAATAATTTTCATTTGTTCAATTAATATAACGACAACAGTTGAAAAGTTTCTCTTATTTATATTTATTTGTGGATATCTAAAATGTATATGTATATATCTAGTGTATTCAATAAGAAAGACATTAAAAGATTGTTATGATCTTAAAATAAATTAAATATTATTTATATTTTAAATCATTATTTATTCACAGATATGTATTATAGAAAATAGGAAAAGGAGTCTTATCTGTCATAGCAATATATTAGGGGGTCATCGAAAATGACACACCCATATTCTTACCTAAAGAAATTTTCTGGCATGTTAGACAAATTAAACCAATCGAAAGTCTTTGAGATACAGCTAGATCATATGCTACCTAAACACCAACAAGAATTATAATACCATTACAGCAGACAGAATGGGGTGCTATGAGAACAGAATGAATATCACTACAAATGACTTTATTTGGTATATATGGGTCAAAAATTGAGCAAAAATCTACAACCCACAGAACCACAAAAATATCAAAGGTAGACTACAATAAAAAAAAAAAAACAGATAGAAGGATAACCTTTATGTCAGATAGACAGGTAGCCAATAAATCTATAGACTCGAACTCTACACTTGGAAGACAGTCAATATCTTATAAAACTTTACTACTAGAAATTAAGTGGCTTTATACTGGAAATATGCACACAGTGATTTTGAGGGCAATGGTTAAGAGGACAAATTGAGTAAAAATGCTATATCCCGGAGCTAATCTGAGCAGATCGGATTTAAAAAAATGATTGAAGTGATCACTATCTATTTAACAAATATTAAGAGCTTTTAAAACTATCAGCAACCATATAGACCATGTATGGAAAACACAGAAACATTTTGACGTATACTTTAAAAATGCTCTGCTTTTATATTTTAGAGGAGAATAGTTTTCCAAAAAAAATTGATACACGATTCAGAGTAGTCAGAAAAAATTAAGATTTTAACTGAAGTGCTGTACAAGCTTTTATAGTTTAACAAGTAGCGCAGTGTGACGGAAAGATAATAATTGAGCCTATGTTATTATAATAACATTGTTGTAGTAATAATATTCTGGCAGATGGATAGTAACCAAATTTTTATTGATTATTAAATTAGGAGAGCTTAGACTAAATAGACTTTAACTATTTATCAAATATAGTACACATAGGTAGTTAAAAATCTATATGAAATATGGAATATAGACATTTATTCGAAAAAGAAAATCACTTCAACTATGAACTCCTTAAAATTATTTTGATTTTACTTTAGTACAATCCCAAATCACTTTTTAGTTCCTATGACATTAGGAGATACCAGGATTATAAGATGATCTAAAGATAAACTAAAACACCACGTTAATAGACTGGTCATATAAACGGATATAAACTGTGGATTCTGCGAAGATAATGAAAAGTCAATCACACATGAGTTGTTAGAACGCCCTGCGCTAATGCAAACACTAAATAGACTTCTGGGAATGTATATCCTTACGAAAGAGGCATTAAAATTCTGTGAGTATGTTCCATATTACTTCTTATTGACGCAACAGGGTATAGAGACTTTCTCTAAACCCAGAAGGGGGCACAATTAACCCGATGGTCGCAGTAGCACACTCCCTCTTAATAAAAATAAACTATTTAGTTTTACAACAAACTCTATAGAAATACAAAAACATATATATAATTTCGAAAGAGGCTATAAAACTCTGTAAAGTAAGTTCTATACTAAACTATACTTTTTATTGACGCAACAGGGCTTAAAGACCTACTCTAGGCCCAGAAGGGGGCACAATAGACCCGATGGTCGCAGTGCCACATACCTAACAATAATAATTATGTCCGGGTAATACAACTTGTAACTGAAAATATTCTAAATTTTTTTATATGCATGTAGATGTAGTAATATCATAGCACAACTTCACGAAACTTACAGCTTAGATAGAAACATATAAAATCTTTTAATCAAATAATAAAATCTTCATCGTGAGACATCTATTGAATGTTTTATCTCTGCGCATGACCGCTTAAATTTTTAATATGTCATTCGATGACATTCTGTTGCAAATTGTGATTGTGGAAGCAATTGTGAAAGCAAATTGAGAAAATGTTGAAAAGTCTGTATTCCGCAATATTATTAATAACAATTTCAACAAAAGGTTTTAGTAATAAAATATCTCATCTCGTACTTAAATAACAATAATAAAAATGTATTATTCTAGCCTCTGGACAATCACTAACCAACGCTATACATCGCACACAGGCTGCGATAGAACGTGTGAATGATTTGTGGTGCTATGAGTGTGACACAATGGACAATGGAACTGCCTGTGTGGATGCGCTGGGCTCAAATACGACAATATATAATAAGAAATGTAAAGGAGAAGAGTTCATATGTATGGTAAGACGGGAGGAAGTAAATTTGTATTATGTCAAAAATAATCACTAAAAATTGTTTATAGGTGAAGCGCTTTTCTTACACATTAAGCACTGAAAATTCCACAAGTTCTCCGAAAATGTGGTCTCTCAATAGACGTTGTACGGTAGTGTGTGAACCAGGTTGCATTGTTATTGGAGAGCGAACAAAACTATATGCCTGCACTTCATGTTGTGAGAAATCGTTGTGTAATACTGGCCGAGGGGCAGCAACAAGTACGTTGCATCGTGTAGAGACGGGGATAGGAACTGTAATATTTTTAACATTGCACGTCTTAGCTATGATAACATATCAAATAAATTTGTAAATAAAATCTTTATTTTAAATTAAGACAACTATATCTGCCAAATGGTGTCTTGTCGGACACATCAAAACTCCTTTTAAATTTAATTACAATTAATAATTAGCGATGTATAGATAATTGTTTCTCCTAATAAACTCTTGTGATATAAATCAAAAGGTACTATTTTATACTCTAATTTAAGCAGGAAAGATTTAACTACTCACCATTTAAATATGTTATTTAATAATCAATTTTGTTTATTATTTATTAAGATTAACTTTCTGCAAATTTAAGGGTGAAGGAAATTATTTTTTTTAAAGAAACTAAGTACAATCAGTAAAAAATTCTCTATATACTATATAGTCATAGAATTAAGGTTAATTTTTTTCTTAAATGTAAGCTAATGTCAGATAGTGGGGTGTGGCGCGATTCTGATTTCCCGTGAATACTTATTTAACAACGAATTTTAGTAAAGTGAACAATTTTATTTCAATTTTTTTTTATATGCCAATATAGCTGACTTAACAGGACATATATAAGTTTTACTTTGACTATATAAACAAATGGTAATAAGAAGACGCGCCACATACTTGTTGGGGGTTGTGTATATATAAATAATGTAAAAGCTGTTCAGAATAGCCGACTTTATTTAAATCCATTGCTAAATGAATTTGCACATTCAATTAAACAATCGATTTCCATTAAACAAATTGAACATTTGTTTTAAAGATATTTGGGATATTCATCTTTAACAATATCGGTCATTTTTTCTTTCAGAGTAGCAAAAAATACTCGGAACTTACGATAGAAAACATCTGAAACAATAAATTATCAGTAAGACTTGAAGAACACCTGAAGGAAGCAAGAGAAGCACCGAAGAAAATGAACCCCATAAAATCAAATGTCGTGAGACATATAGTAAAGGAAAATCACCACATCAACAGGGATAACGCCCAAATAATCAAAAATGTAAGGGATAGCTGAAAATTAGAAACGGCAGAAAGCATCGAAATACACAAACATCATATCTCAACTTTACTCAACGGCGACAAAGGCAACGTGTCATCGTGCCTTTTTAGATACATCCCAAAAAACCGACAACCAGTCAACCTAACTACCTGTATGTAAAAATAAAAAAAAACAACACCAGACCAATCCCGCCACCATTTCTTACCTGTCACCCCCAAGGACAATAACCTTAGGATTTATTAATATTAAGCTTAGTATTAAAAATAACATGTTTATGGTATAAATAGTTTGTAAGATTGCTAGATGTTTTAATATTAGGAATTTTCCTGATGAAGGCAAAAGCGAATTTGCCGAAACACGTGTAGAGATACACAAAAAAACTTTCGAAATAAAAGTTAGTATATTTTAAAAAACAAAAATAACCGCATTTAATAATAATGCTCTTAAAATTATCAGAGTTAAGTTTTACTCGCAAAAAATTTAAGACTAAACTTTTAATGCGGTCAAATTCAAAAATCAATCTATTCTGAATGTTCACTGAAAATACGTTTCAAAATTCAAGCTCGTATTATATCATATTCTACACAACACAACAAAAAGCATATGTCAAACAAAAGTATTCAACTTATTTTAAAAGTGCTGCCAATTTCTTTCAACCACAGTTAATGTTATTTTTATCCTGCTCTGAAAGAAAAAATCACGGCTAATATTAATTTTTAACTTATACTAGATTTACACGAGAGTTGTGTTTGTAATTTTAGCTGTCAAAAATTTTTATTTTGCATTGAAAGCAACAACAACTGACAAAATACAAACATGACAGCTAAAATTACAAACAAAACTCTCGTGTGAACCCAGTATTATAGATTATACACAAAGCACAAGTAATCGTAAATTTAATTGTATATTTACTCTCCTGGCTAGCTTCTTTAAAAAAAACAATGTAAAAATTACAATTCAATTCTAAATAAAAACAATGAAAGCTAAGATTTATCGGTTCATACTTTAAACCAATTGTACGTTCTTTCAATTCAGACTTAAAGCTCGCGTTCAATTACTTTGCTGTCGTAACTTAGTGTTCTTTCACATTTTTCAGCAATCGAACCTGAGTTATTTAACACACATACATATATGTTGAGGGCTTTCATTCTGTCTTGCAAACTTTTTGCAAGGTGCACAAAATGCATAGATTACGCGAGCTTGCAATGGACAACAAAAAAATACACACACAAAATTTCTTGCATGTGCTTGCAATCTTACTATACCCAAACCCATGTATATATGCTTGCAACGAGACAAAAAAAAAACCAACTGTTTTGGCATCTGTTGCTTATCATGTGAATGCGGTATCCTGCAAAAACAGCTGTTTCATTTTGATGTTGCAATTCTACAACATAAGTGTTCTCGCACTCTTGCAATTTTAGTATGGCATTCTTGCGTTTCGTGCACCTTACAATGACTTTGGAAGACACAGTGAATACCATTATTGCAGTAGCAGTTAAATTTACCAGCCAGCAAAGTCTGGCTCGGGAACTCGATATTCGAAAAAGTGGGGATATAATATATCTAAACACTCTTATAATTATTTCACGTTAAAGTGTTAAAATAAAGGAAATCAGTTTATTTTGTTTATTGTATTGTAAATAAAAGAAATACAAAGAAAGAAAATATGTTATTTTGTTTAATGTTTTAACTTTAGCAATACATCTTTATATAAAAATAATTTTCAAGACCACTAATGATTGGTATTTGACAATACTCGGAACAGCTGTCTATTAAGTTCTATTAATTAAAATAATATAAAAAAAATTTTGTTCTGATTCACTACTTTTCGAAACCTCTTCAAAAATTTTAAATGAATTAAACAAATTTAAATTTTCTATAGTACAATTTTACAATAACAAGAATCAGCTGATGTTTTACCAAATGTCCAAAGCAAAAGAAAACTATCAAATCTGATGTTCTTTAACTTAAACAAGTTATAGAGCACGTCTGAATTTCCTATTGCTTTTCCGCTGCTTCTTTGCAACACTTAACAAAAATCATACTACAATGCAATTGACGGCTTATTGGAACGTATGAATGTATATACATATATAAATGTATATTATATACATGTATATTTGTATAAATAATGCGGCCGCTACGACTTTTATTACATAATACATATTATTACATATTATCATAGCAAGCAATGAAATAATATTAGAAAAATACATATACTCATCAAATCAAATAAGTAAAATTAAAAAATATATTAAAAACTTTGACTTACGTTTTTCTAATACGAAAAAAATGTTCAGTTTCCCAATTAATAAATTCTAACAAAACACAACTGGAAACGGTGATATAGAATAAAAATATTAATTACAATATACTGTGAGGCTCGTAACTGTAAGTTTCCTTTAAAAATTTTTAAGTAATTATTTAAAATATAATTTAGAACACTTAAGCATTTTAACTATATTTTGCTCATTTTAAGTTATTTTATCCGTTATATGTTTTGCATAATTTCTTTTCATCGTTTTCGTTTGCGAATTTAACATAAACTGAACATACCCTTTGAAATGTTTCTTCGCACTTAGACATGGTTGTGGTGCAATGACAGGCTGGGCATTGTTTTTAAAATTTTGAATGATCAGTTATTAAGAAAGTGTGTGTAACATATAAAGCGAAAATAAGGGTTGCCAACATTTATATAAATATCTTGATTTTGTGTTGCTAGTATGAAATAATTTTTTTGTTCTAATATTACTTTATTGATAATACAAATTAATTCATACAACATAAGTCGTAATTTTATCTTTCAGAGTTTAAAAAAAAAACAGTATTAAGTCTGGTTAAAACAAATTGGTATCATTTCTAAAATATGTCAAACGCTTTTTTTTTTGACATACGTTGTTGTTGTTGTGATTTGAGTTAGTGCTATTGCGCACTTTACTCTTTTTATCAGATTCTTTTGATATATTGCTATTTGTAATTATTTCTGCTCATATGATTTTAACGCATAACTGGAATTTTGCAACATATTTCCAGTGAACATTCACAATTTACTGATTTTCAAATTTTGTTGCACTAAAACTTAAGAGTTGTAAACCTAAATCTTTAAATAAAATAATAAATAATTATAATATATAAGAATAATGTATTAAAAATATAATATAATTTGAAAATTAAAATATATACGGAATTGATAGGTACGGTAAAAATATTTACTTTTTTCCCTATTTTCAAATATATGAAATTTTTAAATTTTATTTGAAATTTGCCGTACTAAAGCTGACCAATATAGGTTAGCCTTTTGCCGTACTTGCAAGTCACCGAAAACGCATAATATTTCCACTTTACACTCTATAGTACTACGAAAAAATATTATCTTGCGATCATAAAATCGCAACACCATTTTTTACGTTTCTACGTATGTGCTCTATATATATGAAAAAGTCAAAACTAATCTATAAAGTTACAATAAGTGTCTAGAATTGTGTTTATGTTTTCTCGAAAAAATTTGTTTTTATTAACATAGATAAGTCATAAAAAACAAAAATTTGTAAATTTATAAAATCACAAATTCTTTAATTTGTTAATTATAATTTATTTAAATTGCATACATATTTAATTTAATTTTTTAATATTCATTACACATATTAAATAAAAAATTTGGAATAACATAAAATTTTAAGTTAATTTGCCGATATTTTTCTTAAAAAAAAAATATTGTATTTTAAAATTGAAATTTGAAACTTCGTTTCAATAACTAGAAATAAAGAAGTGTGATAATTTAAATATTAAATAGAAAACTAATTTTTTTTAATTTCTAAAAATTTGTTTATTATTTATCCGCGCTGGCAGCCACAACAACGTAACGGCATTTGTTGTCAAAAATGTGCGAATAAGGCCAAAAGGAGAAACACAAGCATCGAATTTTTCTCCTTTTTGTTTGAGTTTTAAGAAATAGCGTCGCTTGTTTTCAGTATTAATATATTAGAAAGAAAATTTGTTTATCTAATTGTATATGTAATTAGATGCACATTTAAAAAGGCAAGAACAATCCGAAGTGTATGAATTTATTATAAATATTACCATTCAGTTATTGGGCAAACATTTATCCAATATTTAAATCATAAAATATGGTCAGAAAACGGAAAATAGCAATAATAAGTGAGGAAAAAGAAAATCAAAATGAAGACTGCACCGAAATTTTATCAGAATGCAGTCAAATGTACACAATAATGTCCTTTGTGCAGAAAAGTGAGACTTTCCACAATAAATACACCAAAGAAATGAAATCGCTGTACACCAAGGTAAGGAGTGATATTTCCGCTTTGATATTATATTTCGGTAACAATCTATCATTTTATTTAAAGGTGGACCACAAAACATTTTTGTTTAATTTTATAAAAATAATAAAAACTGCAATGGAAGCTGATGAGCAAAATACGTATGCACAAACATCGTTGCTGTTTTGTGCAAAGTTTGTTTGCTCGTACGGGACTGACGATGCGCATCCAATTTTCAATGATACATTCAATTGGTTATTAAATGTAAGTTTCAATTCATTATTATCCATTTCTAAGTTTAATATTATTTGTGCTTTTCAGAACTATTCCAGAAATCAACACATTAGATATCGGCTGTGTCAGTTTGTGAATTTAATACTTACTGCTCTTGGAGTAGAAGCTGCACTGGAAGATGAGATATGTGATCGCATTCTAGAGTACATGCTAGATAGATTATGTGATTTAGCTCCTAACGTGCGTGTACAAGCAATTCATGCTATACAACGTTTGCAGATACCGGATAAACCTGATGATCCAGTAGTACGTGCTTATCAGTTTCATTTGTGCTCTGATCCGTCGCCACGTGTTCGTCAAGCAGTTATAACTTGCCTGGGTCGTAACTATCACACAATTCCTTATATTTTAGACAGATTGTGGGATATAGATGAAAAAGTACGACGGCATACATATGTGCATATGAGTAACTATCCTGTACGTTCTTATAAAGTATCACAACGTTTGACACTATTGGAGCAAGGTCTGAATGATCGATCAGAGTTAGTTAAAAAAGCTGTTGTCGATTTGTTGTTAAGAAACTGGATAGAAACTTTTCAAAAAAATTTAGTCGCATTAGTTTTTTCTTTAAAACTGGATTCTAATGAGGAAGAATTAGTGCGATTTAGGAAAATTGCTAAACAAACGTTATCTGCTATCTTCAAGTTAGTATAGTGTGAATATAATTTTAAAAAGTTTTATTTTTAATCTAAATTTTAAATTATTTTTAGAACAAATAAACAAGATTTAAATGATCTGATCGGTTGCTTGCCTTTTGAGAGTGACTGTGAATTCTACCGATGTGTGCCATTACAAAAGCTAAGCATTGAAGTATCAATTTATTGGCAATGTCTCGCAGAATACTTACAAAGTAAAGAAGGGGATATAGATTGTATTTTACCAGAATTAAGCGTATTTTGTGCATATGTAAAGAAGTAAGTGGTTGTTTGAAAAACGTTGATAAGTTTCCACTATTTAAGCTTTACTTACAGATTTTGTGAGCTGCAACTAACATCTGCGGACAAATTCGAATTAATCGAGTTTTACCATATACTTCACTCATTTATGGAAATATTATACATCTATGATTTGGGTGATGAAACTGGACGTAGAAATCTACACGATTTGATAGAATATTTATTGACTAGTTTCATTTTGGATGAAAAGGTTATAAAAGTTATTATATTATGTGCAGAAAATGTAATAACTGATCAGGATGCTCGAATGACGGTGAGATACTACATAATGTTAATGTTTTAATAGCTGTATTTATCTCTGGATAATACTAGAATGGCTATTCAACAGTGCTCATTAGTCTTGTTGAATTCTCACTGTTCATAAGTGAAAAATCGAATCTATTTTTGGATCTGCCCCGTTGATGTGGTTAGGTTTCTCTACTCCTTGTTCCTAATTGTCTTCAAATTTAAATTTTAAAGAATTCCCTTGACTCTCATATGTATATGACTTCGTAATTTGTTTCTTGCTCTTATTTCTTGTTATGTAAGCTACAACAACAACTAAGATATTACGTAGCTTTTAATAAAAACAATAGCAATAACACTAGTAAACACTGTAGTTCATTTATATATATTATATTATAATACATATACCAGTCATTGTTCTTCGACCCTTTGGGTTAGTTACATTACTACTGAAGATATATATTAAGCAGATCTTCATGCTGTGCTGTATGACTTATTTTCGAAATAATAGCTACTAGCCATTACGAACACCTGTTCAGCGACTTGTATCAGAATGATGGCTTCGTCATTCTTTTTTGCAGTAGTTATTTTCGAAGGAATAATATATAATAATAAGATTATAATATATATACCATTGATTGTTGTTCTCAACCCTGGTTTATTCTCGCTGCTTGTACAACTCTTTCTGACAAATCTTCATGACTCTTAGAATAACTCTTACTCCGCATCAGAACACTTGTTCGTTGAGTAATATCAGAGTGATATTTGCTTTCATGAAGGCATGAATTTTAGGCATTAAGAACACTGGTTTGATAAATAGTATCAGAATAAAAACTTTATCATTATATTTTTTTTGCATACATAAAGGATTGGTTAGTAGTCATTTAGGACACTAGTTCTTTGATTAGTATCAGAACGATAGCCCTATCATTCTTATTTTGCTTTCATTGAGGAATGGCAAGTGATCATTAAGAACACTAATTTGATAAGTAGTATCAAAACGATGAGTTAGCATTATTTTTTGCTTTCATAAAAATAGAAATACGCTGAAATAGTTATTGCGTATAAAGACCGAACTTTCGTTAAGTGATGTTATCAGTACAATAGTCAAATCATATTCCCTTAACTTTATTTTTGCTATCTAAATATTATATTCTTCATATATCATTCAATAACTCTTTTTCTATTCGCTTTCCATTACAGTTTTTGTCGAACATAGTACGAAACTTGTGCAACCTTCGTAAAGAAAATCATATTGTGCATGACCGCACCCTTATAAATGAGTTGCTGGCCAATTCCGCGGATGCGGACTTAAATTTAAAGATATCAGCGCTAAAAGTGAAAATTTTAGAATTAGAAGAACAAGAGACAAACTCTGTATTGACTAAAGATTATGTGGGAGCTCATAGCATAACAGAAGAAAAAAATGCAGTTACTATTGAATTCACAAACTTGATGAGAGCAGTAATGCAGAAGCAGCCTGATATAGATAATGTAAGTTATATAAAAAGCATATTTTAATTAATATTTTTTATATAATATATTTTTTTCTAGCATTTAATATTGCCACAGCTGATTGCTGTTAGCAATGAAACAGTCCAGAAAAGTTTGCAGATTATATTTAATATGATCGTTTCTGAGAAAACAGAATCCCTAAGTGAGAGTGCACTCAAATTATACAATGTGCGTATTTAAGAAGTATTATTATTGTTAGAATATATATTTAAAACTATTTTTTTTTTGTATTTTTTGTTAATAACAGGATTTTATATTTCGGCATATTGCTTCAAATCAAATTGGTATACGAGATTGGGCCTTAAAGTGTGCCGCTGCTTTCAGCATGATATATGAACCATTAGCAAAGGATGTATTTGAACAACTGTTCACACAGTTCTTCAAAAATCATAATATGCGTCTCTGGGAAACATCTATAAAATGCATTTTCGAGTTACTAACAAAGTAATAAGAGTTTATTTTTTTATTTTTGCTTGCTTATCTATAATAAGATTATAATTGTTACATAGATATGGATTTGAAACATTTGTTTTGCAAGAAGAACCCACAACATCGAAGAAATCTGGTCGTCCGTTATATAATTTTCTCGATGACATCGAAGATGATGCACCAGCTGTGGCAAATGCTAAAGGAGATCGAATTATTACTCTAATGTTACATTTCTTAAATACAGTGGACGATGTAATCATAATAAATGCAATTCTTGAAGGATTCTGTCGATTGGTATTACATGGACACGTTGACAACAGTGATATTTTGGAAAAAATTTTATTATTTTACTTCAATCCTCACACAGGTGAATTAACTTAATATAATCCATAAGCTCTTGATAAAAACAAGTTAATTTTACAGATTCTGGCATACATCAGACTTTAGGTGTTTTTCTGGAATGCTTTTTTGATAACAAATTACATTATCAATTAGAGCCCTGCTTATTACCAATGGTCACCACAATTATATCCGCGCCCTGTGATAGTCCTTTACGCGATATACGTCCCGAAACGATTACACGGTTTATAATTAGTACCACTTGTCAAGAGGTGTATTCAGGCGCAAATGCTATCCACATTAAATTAGCGGTATCATTCTTAAACGAAATGATAGCCAATAATAGCAACAAGGAACTTTGTAAGCTACTTACAAAGGAATTGAGAACTCTGCAAGTTAGTTCCATACAGAACCAAGATTCGAGAAAGGAAATAAAGGAATTGGTTTTAAAATTAATAAGTGTAAGTATTTTTTTTATTTAAATTTGTTTTAAAAGATATTATAGATAAGAATATATTTTTTTATATAAAATATATTTTAGACGGATTTGGATTCGAAAATGATAAAAACCATCGTAGAATTCAAGGAATTGCTAGAAGGTAGCTTTGTACCACAACCAACAAATCCTGATGTTACGGAAACAGACGATGTAAGTAAATCTGAAATAGTAAATACTTACTATATAAAACCAATGTTATAGTCCACTTCATTGAGAAAGGCCACTAAACAATAACAAATTACATACAAAAAAAATAACTGAGAGTTTGTTACTTTATTGTGCGGCTTCTCCTTTGAAATGCACTATATAGCATATATATACTTAAGAATAAAATATCTTATTAAATTTAATGTGATTATCATTGACTAGGAAACTAATGTTGCTGAGAATGCTTCAGTAGCTGCATCAGAAGCTACCACAACACATACTGTGGAAGTAGAACCCATTACTGTAAATGCAAGCACCACAACGTCTGAAAATAATAATTCCAAAACAGTGGGAAAAGAGACAACTGCTGTTCAAAACATAAATACTTCACCTAACACAGTTACGCCTACAAGGAATGGAAGAAATAATGGTTCAGCGTACAGGCATTTGCGCAAATCGTTAAACATGAAAGATACTAATAATACTAATACTACTAATAATACGCCTAATGTAAGCAATTCTGGTTCTCCAAAAATACGTATAGAATTACGAATTGATTCAGATAAAAAAACATCCGAAGAAGAGTCGGAGAAAACTACCCCACCAAGTAATATACATGCGAGGCGTAATCTGGAATTTACACCGATAATTAATGATAAAGGGAACGATGGCAATAGCAAAGATTCTACAGCAGATCATACAGCGACTGATGTCTTGAATAAAAGCAATGAATCAAATAGGAGTGCAAATATTTCAAATAACAAAAGTGTAGAGCATAATAATGGGAATGAAATAAGCACCAATAATAATGTGCTAAAGAGCAATCAAAAGGATAGAAGTAGGCTTGCGACACGTTCGAAGAATAAAGACATAACAAATAATGATAACGACAAAGCTGATAAAAATGAGAGTTTGGTTAATGGAGCAATGCGGACTAGGAGGAATGTTAACAAAGAAGATGGACATACTGACTCAATTAATAATGGTTCAGCTCGAGAAATGAGTGAAGTAAGTATTTTAACTTTAAATTTTGTTGATCGAATTTATTTTCTCATTATATAAATTAATAATATAATAATAATATTTATTTTATATTTAATTTTTTAATAATTGCTGATGGAGCATTAATACCATTAAATATGTAATTGGTTGTCTTTGTAGTGTGTTCACGTTTTTAAATTATTTTAATATTTACTTATATTAATATTTTCATTTCATTTAGGAACTTTAAGTGTCGGTGAAACATTTGTTTCATGTTAATGTTTCACCTTGTTCCTAGAATATCTCTTTCTGCTATATTCTTGCAGAAGCCAGTTGTACTTAAAACAGGCTGACACGCTACGCATATTGAACAAATGATGGTTTTATTTCCAACTACAATTCAAAATAGTTTTCCGACAAACTGATTGAAGAACATTCAGTGAGAATTCTAAAATTCAGACGCTTAATCATTCGTATTTATATCTTACCTCCGTCCTACGAATGGCGGTTTTATTTTCAATTATTATTCACATTCGTTTCCCACCTAAAGAAAACTAAAACCAGCTTTTTTTGGGGGTTTCCTTAGAGTATGTCTAATGTAGATCACACGTTTAACATCCATAAAAAAGCATTGATAGCTTATTGAATTAAAATATTGATCTTTGTTGGTGTCGACAAAAAATTAATATTTGTTTGCTGCTACTTTTAAGAAATTGTCATTATGACGAAAAGATAGTAAACAGATGTCATTAGCTTAGACGATACATTCGAGTAGTCCTATAACTATTTAAGAATGTCTATTTTATTGATCAATTGCTGCGATGGCACTACCATCAAATACATTCTAAAATAGAATAAGTGGTAACAGTCAGCTTTAATAAACTGACTTCAATAGACGTCTACTGTACAAAATCGTAAACAAAAATCCCTAATGTATTTTTATCAGGTTGCTGATTTCAATAGACGTCTACTGTACAAAATCGTAAACAAAAATCCCTAATGTATTTTTATCAGGTTGCTCAGTTTCGGGAAAATTTAGGTTTTGTTTAGGATCGGTGTACATTGTAGAGGCTCTATGAAAATCTATGATTGATAGTATGAAACAAAACCGCCATTCGTTAAATACGTGTAACGTGTTAATCTGGTTCGTGTATCTTTGATTTGGTATGCAACCAGTCTTAAGTTTACGGATAGTGTTGTCTAGCGTAGATTTGATGCTTTTTAATAGAACAGGGAGAGGATATGTATACCAATAGTAACTTAATAACGCTGTAGTTTTAGGATAGCGATCGGTGTTTTTGGAAACAAAAAACACTGGTTAAATTTGTATAGCGTATTTATCTTGCCTATACACAAACGATTTGGCCTAAAACCTGTCTGTTGCTTAGTGCTGTGTAGCATTTTAATATAAAGGACGAGAGTTGTAGTAACATATTGCCTACGTAGTTATTGAACAGTGGCCGTTTTTCTTTTTTTTTTTGAATTCCCACCAGATACTCTTCTATGTCTTGGGAAACGATTATAGTTCCAAATCGCATTTAAAACTGGTTGCAAAAATTGTTGTTTCTAGACACGTTTTTAAGTGTCCTCTGATACAAAGATCCTCTGTCCTGTCCCATTCATGCGATTCTCATTTCTTAAGGCCATTTAATTGTTTTGATGATTTTTCTAGTGGTATAGCAACTAGTTTTTATGTGAGTGTTGCTTACGTTCACTAAGGGCTTTATAAGTAAGAGTAATATAAAAAAATATTCGTCGTACGAATGGGAATAAATATTTACTTAAACGGGTTATCTATTCCCATCAAATATTTTTCATTTCTGCAGTGAGGCGAATTAAAAACAGATGGAAATTTGTTTAGACCAGGACTGGAAGATAGGATACGATCGTGGGCCACTAATTAGAATTTATTTGAATTTCCTTTTTGTGATACCATAAAAATAAAATAATATAATTTTATCAAAATATGTCAAAGGAAGAGTTGCGTAATTGTGGTAGATTAAAAACATATTTTGGGCTGCACATATTAGCCGCGGGCCGCAGATGGCCCGTGATTTGGACAGCTCTGGTTTAGACAGTTAAATTTTATTCTATCGTAGAAATCAATTAAGTTATTTTCCGTTTCTCCCTTATGTTTTTTTTTATCAGCAGATTTAATTTGAGTGCATTTATTAACTACTTTTTAAATATTTCAGCCAAGCACACCGGATGTAATCACAGAGTCACCCACAGTAGTGAAATCTGTACGTGTACGGAAACCAATTATTTATGGGAAAGATTTAATGGCAAGTTCTGTAAGAACTTCTCAACGTACCAAAACACCTTCACAGAAAGTGAGTAAGATAAGAATGGGATTAAAGTTTTAATATCAATTAGATTAATTAAAATTTTAATAAAATGTAACAATTTCTAATTTTAAGTGATATTAACCATTTGAGGATCAAGAACAAGAAAGGAACAAGAAATAATTTTAAGTATTTTGTTTAGCAAAACCTCATACTTCCATTTTTTTATATACCATATATACAATTGTGTTTTATTTGAGTTAGTTTTATTAATTGGGTCATTAGAGATTTAAATTCTATGAAATTGTAAGAATAGTGAATAATTAAAATAACAAATAAAATGTAAGCGAGTGTACAACTTTTTTAAATCTTGTTTTTCATCATGACTTTATATATAGGATAGAATATTAGTAACTAAATTTTTAGAACTTTTTTGATAATTGTATAGATTTTATTAACGTACTTTTTGTTTTCCGTTTGTTTTGCTTTTTCTTCTTTTTAATTTGTTTTCTTGGACCCTAGATAACTGAGCAAAATAATACTACACCCAGTAAATTGCGTAGGATTAATCATACAAATATAAGTTCAACAGAACTACGTAATGGTCGAAAAAGAATCTTAAAATCAACACCACTAAATACTGTAGCTGGAAATACGGAGACTATAACCCAACCTCGTAAAAGAGCTTGTTTAGACGAACAGGCAAATAATACACAAACAAAGAAGCTAACGCAAAGTGATCAGGAGGAGTCTAGCAATAACAGAACACTTAGAGCGGCGGGAGAGAGCCCATCTTCAACAAAAGAAAATGAATTTGCTGTTGTCACAAGAAGTACTAGTAAAAATGTTAAAACAAATGCACCTGAGATTACGATAAGCCAATCGACGAGATCAACAAGAAGAAATAAATTAACACAGTCTAATGCAGAAAACAATACTTCCATAACGAGTCTTAATGGTATTGAAATAATTGATTTGACCATTGACCCAGTGAATGAAAACGATGTTACTTCAGAACAAGCACGGACATTTCAAGAGGAACGTACAAGTAGGAAACACAGTACATCAAGTCCCAAAAGGTTAGTGCGTAGCAAAAGTTTAGAAAAGGTGAACAACAACAACCTCAGTACCAGTAATGAAGAAAGAAGAAATTCAATTACCACACGAAACTCTGCACGAAAAGAACGTCAACTCAACCAAATAATGACGCGAAACCGTCTACAACATGAAATGACTAGTATAAAGGTCTACAAAAATTTTTCTAGTAAGATACCAGTTAGAAGAAAAACGTACGCGGAACCATTAGTAATAAAAAGCAATGGTAATGCGACATCCAATCTGAATGGAGATATTTCACGCAGTCAAATCTCAGCTGGTAGAACAGGTTTGCCGATGACGAAGTCTTTTGTGCGTACTATGCGTAATCGTTCACCACCGACGGAAGCACCCAGATTGAAAATACCACGCCTTAGACGCGATCCATCTTAGTAAAGAAAAATATAGTATTTTAGTTAGTTCATTATTAATCTATAAAATTATGTAATTTATTTTATAAATAGCTAATATATTTTTTATTTTGAATAAGGTTTTATCTCGTTTAAATGAAAAATTTTTTATTGGGCGATTGACAAATTAAAAATACACAATAAATATTATGGTTAACTGTTGTTTATAATTCATTATATAAATATGAAATATTTAAATATTGTATATAAATAAAATTTATGAGTTAGAAAGAATTTGTTAACTAAATCTTTATTAAAATTTTAAATTAAAGTTGTTTGTTTAATTTAAGATTTAAGACTTAGGTAGTATATACGTTTATTGGGTATATATCAAATAAAAGAAAAAAACTATTTTTGTAAACAAACATTTAACTTAGTTATATCTACTCTTGTTAACTTAACACATGCTTTATATGAGAAACATAATTTCTAATGGATTCCAAATCTATAGTTTTGAAACGGGATGTTATAAACCTTATTTTAATAATAATAATAATTATAATAATAAGTACATAATGAGATTCACACTATACTAAAAGAGTTGAAATGCAAGAGCAATAAATTTCAGATATGTTATGTATATATAAAGATTAATATAACTTATTTTAATTTTGATCTTAAATATATAAAAAGTGGAAGCAGTTTTAAGGCATTTTGTGAATAAAATAAAATGAAATAGAATAAAGCTTAGTATTGACTTTAAAAACACTTTCGTGGTATGGACTAATAGTGTAGCGTGCTACCTTCTGCTCGAAAAGTATCCGGATTTTGTTGTTTGTTAACTACTCCTTAAGTAATAGACCTTTTGAGCGCCATCTGTCAATTAGTTTCTTACAGCAGCTGTTAATGTGAGACTACCTCAAGTGCATTTAGCGATTTTTACTATGGGAAAATTCTTGTTGTACGCGATTTTTTGACCAAACACGGCATCACTGTCATCGCTCAGGCACCATATTCGCCAGATCTGGATCCGTGCGACTTTTACCTGTTCCTATTCCCGAAACTCAAATTGCCCCTTCGTGGTAAGCGTTTTGAGTCGATTGAATCGGTAAAAGAGAATTCGCTAAAGGAACTAAAAGCCATACCTTTACGGGCCTACGAAAAGTATATAGAAGATTGGGTTAAGCGTTGGCATATGTGTATCGCTTCAGAAGGAGATAAAATAAATTTGGAATAAAATTTAAATTTGTGTGTTTTATTTACAAAATCCGAGTACTTTTTGAGCAGAAGGTATATAAAAAAAAATATTTAAACAAATCTAGTTATCTAGTTCTAGTTGGTTCTATAATAGAGTGTATGTTACATTATAATCCATTATGCTTTTGATATTAATTAGTTTTAATAGGTTTATATAATGCTTTAAAATGTAAATGCATTCAAATGCTTGGTACATATTTCTAAAAGTTTGTCTTTACACTGATGGGAACAGATCTCAATGGTTACTATGATGGTAATAGGACCTACATTACTATATTTATCAACCTTAAATGACTTACTATTTTCATCGCAATAAAATTCCAAAAATTAAAACTGAAATAGCTTTTTTAAATATTGCAAGAATACTATAATATCATAATTGAGCCAAATGTCATGAGTGATGAGTTCGATGGAGTCGAAATTGCTGCAATCTGGAAATGTTTATTTTGGTTTTTGTTCTTATAATGTTATGATAATTCTAAAGAGATTAATTTATAGAACTGTTAACAGTACAAATACTATACTAAATATATATTAGGGATTTTCAGACTTGCTAAGCGATACAATTTTGTGTGTATTTGGTTTTCTAAAATTACAAAGGTATGGAGTTATGGACCCTTAAAGTCTGAAAATATTTTCGGTATTCGGTAAAACATGAGCTATTTCTTATTATTGTCAAGTGTGGAGTACTAATATTTCATATTTGTACTAATATTTATTGAGAGTGAATAAGTAAAAAAATTGTTGAAAAGATGATGAAGAAAATGGAATAAATAAACTAAAACCCCATATAGCAAGAACTATGGAACAATTTAGTTAAACTTTCTAGTTGTTAGTTATGGAACAATGTCGAGTACGACAATATACGAATAGAGTTAACTGATAGTGAGGAAGAGAGCAACGTCACTGAGAATGACTTGTTTTGGAAAATTACTCCAATTAAGTAAAGATTACCTTAACACAGTATTTTTGTGTCGATCTTTATATTCGTTTTTTAGTTGTCTCAAGTGCATTGAATTATATTACATATAGCTAATAACAATAGTAATCTTGGAAATATAAAAGTTTTGAATAAAATAAATGCTTTTATAATTTGTCATGGTTCAATTTACATGTTAAAACTATATGTTCCTACATATCTGATTTTTATCTAACACAGAGTACCTACTTACTACTTCAATTTATATATATTGTATATAAATATACACTACGGCCCTATGCTCTTCCTAGGAGTTAAAGGATTAAATATATATAAATATACAATACTTAAAAATGTAAGAATGTTTACAGTTTACATATAAAAAGAAGTATATATTGTACATATTCACTATATATATATATAGGAATTTAAGAATGTATACACAATACGAAAAAAATATTATTACCAATGCAAAATTTTAATAGTCTAATGATGTAAGCTATAACTAAATATAGGTGTATAACGAAAAATAATTAAATGTTTTAGATGTCCAGGTTAGTGCAAAATTTTTGTTGCCTGAAAGTGTCTAATCTTTAAAAAGCTTTTGAGAGAGAACTTATCAGTGCAAATCTTGTAGAGAATTTGATCTATTGTTGTTACCTTCCTCAAATACAAAATACAATTTTTTTTTTGTTTTCTTGTAGGGTTTTCGATTGGTAAATATGTATACGGTAACGTTTTTCAATTGTTAAAACTCTAGCAAAAAAATGTATTAGATTAGAGATTAGTTTATAATAACCCAGTCTAGATATTTGGCTAGAGCTATTTTGACAGCTCTAGTTATTTGACAGTTGAAATATATTTAGTATTTGAAATATTGTGTTTAATTAAACATTATCGCTATTAACTTCAAAGATATAATTTAAGTTGTTTTATCTATCTATTTTAATGGCGTATTTAAACTTCATTTTTGTGTAAAAAGGTACTGAGTTATCAATAATTCAGTTTATTCTAAATAAATGTGATTGGATCACAAAAATGGATAGTAAAGCTAGTTTACTCAATCGAAAACTTTATTAGTTTCAATTGTCAAAATTATAAATCTTATTGTCATATGAGAGAAATGCTTACTTTGGACATCTATATGAATGATTAGTTATTATCTCGGGTATAACTTTATGAAATGTCTCAGTTCGGATAGTGAATTTTAATAAAGAGGAATAGTTACTTAACAACCAAATATGGATTTTTTAATATGTAACTTGTTGCTGTAACCCGCGGGGACCTATTTGTTTAATCCCTTTGGAGAGTTAAGCTTAGACTATGACTATTTTATCTGCTTTCAGGTCCCAGCTGGTTATCACAAGAATAACGTAGCTTGGTAAATTAATTTGAGTTCCTATACTTAGTAAACTGGTAGCTGTGTACTTTTTAATTTGAGCGGTTAATGCTCATTTAAAAAAAAAATTTTTTTTTTGACAACAGAAAAGTTGGAAATAGTTTTTGGAAAAATGTGGCATTAGGACTTTAACAACTATTTTGATTTAGATTGATTAACAATAGTAATTCTTACTGTTTTTATCCTAAATAGTATTGTTTAAAAGTAAATTAAAACTTAATTATTTAAATTAACTTTAGAAGTTTTTAAAAACTTTCCAGTTGTTTGGTTTTCTAAAAAAAGATTTATATTACTAAACTTAATATTTACTGAACCTGTTTAAAGTTTGCCTACACGCTTTCATATACCTCACAAAAAAAAAATTTAAATAAAATGATAAAAAATAAAAACGTTCCAATGTTTTGAACGAAACATCATATTGCATATGGTGAGTATTTGTTGTTTGCCAAATTTTGTTTCCCTGGAAACTTAAATATCCTTTGCGTTTACGTTATTAGTGTCCTTTTAGGTTCAGTGCAGTTGTGCGTAAGTCCCATTCATTTTTGATCAAAGCTTCAGCACATTCACCTAAACTTAATTGAATAGTTGATAAAATTTTTTGTAATCTTAAAATTTTTATAGCTCTATGAACGTCCCAGTCTA